CCGATCGGATAAACGGCTAGCGGGAAATTAAAAGGTTCATCTAATTTTTCAACGCCGTAGATAAATGAATCGTGTGTTGATTTTTCAACGTATCTCAGGAAATTAAACGGCTCGTCTAATAAGTAAAGGCCATAGATAAGTAAACGGTGTGTTGATTTTTCAATGTATCTCGGGAAAGCAGACGGCTCGTCTAATAAGTAAACGTCGTAGATAAGTGAACGGGTCGGTACTAAGCCATAGCACTAACTAAGCCATTTATGTAATTCTTAAACAATTTTTATCAATTATCGAATGATGTTTTGAAAATAAACTCTATGCATACTTTCCAGCGCTAAAAACCCCGTTCTAAACAATACCAAATCCCTAGTGACAGACACGTGAACAGTAGCGTCCCAGGGCTCAAGCTGGACTAAAAATTTAGGGAGACTTGAAGTCCCCCTTTTTGAATATCCGGGGGACTTCTGGAAATTTAGGGGGACTTCAAGAAAATCGCCAACACCAGAATAGATATTGCATGCTCATAAATAAATAAACATTTAATTATTCCCATTTATTTTTCAGTTTAATCTTTCATCTATTTTACAATATGAAAAATAACAAAAAACAATATAATATATGATTTGCTCTAGTCTTACTATTGTGAAAACTCTTTATCTTAAAAAATGTAAACGAAAATGTAAAAAAGAAAAAAAATTGTGGTCTGATCAAAATGGAGTTACCTCTCTTTAAAACATATAGGTTATTCAACCATCAACTGATCTGTTTTTAATTATAATCAACTTTAGCTGATCTATATATCTTACAATGCCATTTTCCGTTTTCGTCGACCACATACGTGTACCAATCGAAAGAATATATTCCTTGCCGTACTTTCGTTTAGCAGGAGGAATGTCGGTCGAATCATCGCGATCCTTTCGTTTAGTACCCAGTTTATGAATTAGATATCAAAATGATTTAATAACGGTTCCATCAGATTTTTACTCAATTTCATTGTTTAATACGACACTCGAACACAGAACAAAGAAATATATCTAGAGATATAACCGTTAGACCCACTCATTTCATTATTCTTTATACTCTAGCATTTAGAATGACAATATCCGCCACAAATACGCCATATTTCTTGGAACTTGGAGTAGAAACAGGATTTTTATTTCACATTGAGTTATTAAATAATGTCGGCATATTCTGATATCGAGAGACCGTTTGTTACTAAAAATAGATTATTTTTGAAACAAAGGCTTCGATTGGCCGGATACACGCTGACTCTATATTGTGATAAAAATAGACAATACGCTTGGACGGTCACGTAATTAATGATTTCATACACTATATAGATAGTTCATTCAAACATTTATATAAAAGCAAAGAAGCTAATAATTAATTTATCATAAAATTTCCGCAACTATTACGTCACATTTGGTATGACGCTAGCAACTCAAGTCGACCGGAGGCTTGAGCTTACAATTCACGTAATTCAAGACATGATATGGCAACACAAGGCGATCGAGAAGTCACCGTGGTCAAGCTACAAGGCGTTCCGGGCGTAGGTTTTTCCTTGAATTCGCCCGTATTGCCCCCTCGCTTGAGCCCTGGCATCCAATCAGAGGTTGTGACATAGCAACCTGCACGGAAACCTTGACATTGAATGAACCTTGAACTTTGCAACTCAATTATCACATGTAGAAATTTTAGCTTAAATGTGCGAGACTTGGTATTCGCGATGATCGAGGACTTTGATAGGCTCACAAGTGGGCTTGTACCCAAACGAAATTAGTGCCGAAATATGCAGGGTATTACTTGAAGGCCTTGATAAGATGTACATAGTTAAAGCGAGATCAAGTCTTCCATTGAAGATGCAAACAATCAGATTGCTTACCTAAGCAGATAATGTTCATCATCAAGACATTCACCTAATAAACACCTACACGAAGTTTGAACATTCTACCTCAATTAGAAGGAGAGTTATTGTGTTCCAAAGTCTCAACCAATCAAATTGCTTATCGCTCTGCTTACTCTCAGCAGAAAAAGTTCATTATCGCACTTAGTCAAGGTATTGATGTGATAAAACTATATACCAAGTGTTCTAACTCTCACTTAATTAGAACTAAAGTTACCGTGTTCCAAAGCACCAATCAATCAAATTGCTTATTTCTGCTTACCCTAAGGAGAAAATTCTCATACCTACGCCAAGTGCTAACATTCTAGCTCAATTAGAACTAAAGATATTGTGTCCAAATGCATCAACCAATCAAATTGCTTATTTCTGCTTGCCCTAAGCAGAAAATGCTCATCTTCGAACTCCATCAAGGCATTGACCTAATCAACACCTACACCAAGTTTAAACATTCTAGCTCAATTAGATGGAGAGTTATTGTGTCCCAAAAAGTTTGACAGACAGACAGACAGACGAACCCATTTTAATGGGACAACAAGCTTTTGCTAGAACTGGCAGAAAATATCGATATAAACGATAATCATCGGTAATGCGTTTTGAAGATCGATAATCATTACTGGCATAAGAAGAAATTCATAAAAGATAATCCTCCTTATCACAATATACTTCCAAAAAAGGTTGCCGCGATACCCCAGGGATTACGATATATCGCGAGAATTAGGTCAGGCGATAAAATTATCGTCTGAGATCTCAAATATCAAATATCGCTTTATCACGATATATCACGATAATTCTGAAAAATATCGCGATATTTTCATTTTTGATCAGAATTCAGTCCATTGAAAATTACATTGATATTTTACGTTGAAAAATCGTCTTGATAAAATTTCTATTATTCTTTGAATAAAATGGTTTCCAAGCTTGAAACTGTCAATGCCAATATGAATATTTTTGATGACAGTTCAGCAGACTGCGAAAACACACTGCTGCTGACACGAAAAAGAGCATTTCTTCTGTCACTCATATGGGAATGTTTTAGTTTAAAAAGAACACCCGACAAGTCTGTTAACCAGATATTGAGTTAATGAATATTTATTCAGTATTCCAGCTGATCAGAATAGAATGATCTGAGGTGACGATACCTACAGGAATAATCTTACCCCAGCATATATACATGTATATACGTCTCACTTCATCAGTACATCTCACCATTGGCATACGAGCTGGGGGGCAATTAAATAGAAATCTTAAGACTCGAACCCTCTATTGTTTGGAGTACAGTAAGCCACAAATTACAGTTACATAAACAACTGTTTTTAGTTGTGTATATTACAAGTAAATAAAATTTAGTTCTCTTTTATTGATGATTTAGAAATTAAGAACTTATTCATCGCAAAAGAGATATTATGATTATTATGTAACATACTAAGAACCTAACTACATTTTTGGGGCACCAACCACCCCCACCCCCCAGTAAAAAATTTCCCCGTACGTCTATGCATCTCACACACATTGCTAAATATCAAATGGATACACAAGATACATTAATCCTAGTGTTGAAACTACTATTCGGATATTCGTTAACGCATACAAAATAAGGATTATCCGAATCATTTTACTATCCGTTTACTATTCGTTACATATTTTGACATTCCGTATGCTCTATATTTAGCCATTTTTACGTCTGATTACTTTGAAATTCTCCCCAATGCAATTGATCACGTACGCAGCTCTGAGCATAAATGTCAACTTTAGGCGTATTATTTAGTGATAGTAACTAATAAAATTATTAATGCAGTGCAACGAAAACAGTAGTCTAAATAAAAAAAAATATTCATTCATTCCCTGCGCTAGTTTACTGCATACGAGTTTAGACCGTGTTTTGACTTCTCACAATGAAATTTATTCATAACGACCTAGGTCACGTATATTCCCACTCACTGATTGGTTCAATAGTAGTAGATTATCAGAATGAGGCAAACGACCTTGCCGGAATAAATGGCACATGGTTTTATTTTACTTTTTTCATTCGTGATGATTGAGCAAAATGATAAGTGGGAGGGTGCGGATAACAGAAGTAGTTATACTATACAAATTCCTTCACCTCATTGATTTTTTGGGATGTCAGACCGATGTCATAGATAGTCTTAATAATTACGGCTAAAGGTAGGCACGTTTTTTTCTTCACAGCTCAAACAATTTGCAAATCGAAAGTACGATTTCATACTCGGCATACACTCATAAACATTGAAATAAGTAAGAAATTATGAGTACCGGTATATGAACTTTTGATGTAATTTTGTTCAAGAATTTCACGTCTCTGAATTATCCGAATAGTATTCGGATAGCCAACAAAAGTATTCGGATCACAAATCTCGATCCGATTTTCAACACTAATTAATCCATTTATACACCTCAAGTTATATCAATTTTATATCAGTAATTATCATGATATTGAATTTTGATGCATGATAATTCTAATTATCACGATAATTTACTCCGTACGATATATCAATTTTTTATCAGTAATTATCATGATATTGAATTTTTGATGCATGATAATTCTAATTATCACGATAATTTACTCCGGACGATAACCCATGATATCGCGATAATTTATTTTACCAATATCGTGAGATATCGCAGTATTTTTTTTCTGTATCATTGCAACCTTACTTCCAAGACATGCACGGTAATTGTAATTAAACAGAAAACTGACACACACAAGTTTTGTTTTTACATGAGTCGTTGCTGCCAAGTGCTGTCGGTCACTTATGAGAGTAAATACTTTGTACATATGGTCCACACAACTTTGCATATATTTCAAAGTTTGCTTAAAAGGAGGGGGCCATAACCCAAGAATTTGATACTTAACATATATTTCAAGTTTCATCTGAATCGGACAAAAATTGTTGCCTCTGGAGTGTCCACAACCGTCATACATATTATTAAACATACAAGCTTAATGATAGGTTTCGTCCCTGACAAGACACATGGACCAACAGAGAGGGATGAGAACCAAATAGGTTTCATGCTCTCATGTTCCCAAAACTTCATGGATAATGGATAAATACATACAAAAACAAAGGTAACATAAATTTACCCATGCATCTGAACATTCCTAGGTTGAGCTCTATGTTCTATTGTTACTCTTTGTGGATTTTGATGATGTATTGAAATAAGAGTTGGTGTAGAATCATTTTCTGGGCTTGGAACTGACAAATGCTCCATATGGTCCACAAAACTTGACCTCATAGCCTGCAAATAGATCATTTTTATCTATATTTCAATTCATTTTAAAACTTTTTAAGTATTAATATGTACAGACCTCAAAATGTCCAAGGGGGATAATTCCGGAACAGAAGTTCACAGAACGCTGAATATCAATACTATAGGTAAGGTGCCCCATGCAGTCAAAATTTGCTCTACCAAAAGTTGAACTCACCACAGGGAATGTTCATGCTATAGTATAATGTCAAGTTGCCAAGTGATTACAGAGCAGATACGGACCATGCACATATACAGAGTATATCAGTGTTGGGATTTCAAAATTGTTCTTGTCGGACATTTTTACCGAAAATAAAGGGGCATAACTCTTATTCTCAGCTATCCTTAGGGTGTAACGGTGATATAATAATACGTTTTTTTAAATCGGATAAAAATTATGACCTCTATAGGGTCCACAAGCTAAAAACGCGATTTTTTGTACAATCAGGGGCCATAATTCAGGAAGTTACGGTCCGATATGCGCGAATATCGAAAGGAACCGAGATCTTTGGGTTATAAACTTACATTTCGAGTTTCAACAAAATCCGATAAAAATTGGGACCTCTATAGGGTCCACAACCTTGATATACCATATTTTTACACTATTTGAGAACGAACGGCAGCCATTTTGTCTGTCAATTTTGGGCTGATTTTCACAAAATTCGAACTCAGCCGTCCTTAGGGTGTAACGGTGATATAATAAAAGTTTTTTTAAATCAGATAAAAATTATGACCTCTATAGGGTCCACAAGCTAAAAACTCGATTTTTCGTACAATCAGGGGCCATAATTCAGGAAGTTACTGTCCGATATGCGTGAATATCGAAAGGAACCGAGATCTTTGGGTTATAAACTTACATTTCAAGTTTCAACAAAATTGGATTAAAATTGTGACCTCTATAGGGTCCACAAGCTAAAAACGTGATTTTTTGTACAAACAGGGGCCATAATCCATGAAGTTTCAATCCGATACATGCCAATATTGAAAGCAGCCGAGATCTTTTGGAGATAAACCTATATTTCAAGTTTCGTCAAAATCGGATAAGAATTGTGAGCTGTAGAGTGTCCACGGACGGACAGGGGCGACGGCATAATACGTCCACATGAAAATGTGGGCGTATAAAAATTGGTGCACCTCGTTAATTCCCGTACAGTATTCAAATTTATGTCAGTAATATTCCTACAAAATTATGTGTTGTCGTAATACGATAGAATAAAAGCCTGCCGACCCTCCAAAATTACCATATTTTTGGGATATAAGTCGATACTGTTTTCAGCAGAAGTCTGGCATTCGTCTTACTCTGTTTCGACTTATATCCGGATGGAGGTAAAACCAACAGTTGCCAGGCAAGATATGCCCACATTTTGCAAGAGATGGATAGAGAACAAGCTAAAACAAAAACAAATTTTTCGTACAATCAAGGGCCATAATACAGAGAGTTATGTTCTGAAAAGCGCAAATATCAAAAGGGACAGAGATCTTTGGGATATAAAGATATATTTTAAGTTTCATCAAAATTAGATAAAAGTTGTGACCTCTAGAGGTTCCACAACCTTGGTATTACATACTTTTACACAATTTGTCGGGCAGTATCACTTCAATTTTCCCGAAATTCAAATTCAACCTTCATTATGGTGGAATGGTGATAAATTTAAACGGTTTTTAAAATCAGATAAAATATTGAGACCTCCAGAGGAAAAAACAAGCTAAAAAATATCATTTTTCGTACAATCAGGGACCATAATTTAGGAAGTTACGGTCTGATATGAACAAATTACAAAAGGAACCAGGATCTTTGGGACATAAACATATATATTTAGTTTCATCAAAATCTGATAACAATTGTCACTTCTAGAGGGTCCACAACCTTGGTATGACATACTTTTACACTATTTACGTACAAGGAGAACCATTTTGTCATGCTTTTTAAAATCAGATAACAATTGTGACTTATAGCAGGTCCACAAGCTAAAGATAGGTTGTCAGGCAACGAAACACACGCCCACAGCAGCTATATCGTCCGGGCAGTCAACAAGAGTTGTCGCATCTTTGTACTTTTTTTCGGTAAGGAAACATTTATAATACATTAAAATCTGATTAAGAGTAACAACTCATTAAGTAATTATCAGAAAACCTTTAGAATTTGTTTGGTTTTTATAAAGTACTGCCCCATGATAACGTTTAGTATACGAAACTTTTAACATCATGAATTTAGCTGTTCAAGTCATAAAGATTCAATGAAAATCAATATACTTGTTCGTCTCAAGACCTTAAACTCTGTGTATCAATCTGAAGTCAATCGGATGATAACTTTAGCCTCTAGAGCGTCATATGATTTTTCAAGTGTGATCAAGGACCATAACTTTGGCAGTAATTATCCGAAATTGTTGAAAATCAATATGATTTTTCATCTCATGGCCACAAACACTGTGTATAAATTTAAAGTCAATCGGATATTAACTTTAGCCCTTTGATCGTTTACAAGATTTTTCAAATTATCAAAAATAATTATCAAAAATCACTGGAAATGAATAGACTTCTTCGTCTCATGACCTTAAACGCAGTGTATAAATTTAAAGTCAATCGGATATTAACTTTAGCTTCTAGAGCATCCACAAGATTTTTCAAAGAGATCAAGGGCCATAACTCTGGCAGTAATTATCCGAAATCGCTGAAAATCAATAGGCTTCTTCGTCTCATGACCTTAAACACTGTGTATAAATTTAAAGTCAATCAGATATTAACTTTAGCCTCTAAAAATTCCCCACCAAAAGTCAATGAAAACTACTTCCAATCACTTTAAATGTATCATAGATGGGGTCGGCATGATGAAAGAACACGAGAATAATCTTCAGATCATGAAAATCCAACCATTATTGGCGGAGATAGCCATGTCCTCGTTCAGAGGGGTCCCGATTTCAAAAATGCCCCTCCAAGAGGGGTCAAGGGGTCGGAAAATTTGAACCCCAACATTTTTGGATAGCTTGGTCCCCAATCAACTCAAAACAACAAAAAAATCAATTTTAGCATAGGCCTAAAAATCCTACAGGAGCTGTTTTGATGACATGTCATACTACACTAACAACTTGAATGTTTTAACAGATCTACATTAAAATCTGTCGATGAGAGGGGGTTGTGTGGAACCTAATAAACAGCCATCGCACATGAAATTTTCAACACATCTATGAACAGTAACATTTAGCTTTTTGGTTATTACAGCAGCTTTAGAAAATTACATTCATTTCGGTTTTTTTAATTTGCTTTATTATGAACAATAGGAGTGGCATCATTTGGTTTAGTAAAATTAAAATCTCTGGGCAAGAACAAAATACTACATGTAGTGCTAGTAGCAGTATTTTCCTTTTGATTTTACAAGGTTCTCAAAACAATTGTTGAGTTACCTAAGGAAGGAGTTACGAAATTAGATTTATTGATCTAGCTTTCTGTAATGTTTCGTAGAAAATAGTCTTGATTATCCTGGTCTGTCAAGAGGACGTAAGATATTTTACACTAAAAAATGCCTGGATGTAATGGCTGCTTGCAAGTGGTTTACGTTTTCTCATCTATTTTTTATCTATGTTTAAATGGGTATAACTTGTTAAAAACAACACGGTCGTTTCATTAATGGCTATAAATGTGAGAAAGAAAGTTAAGACTTGTTATGTATATATAATTAAAGATGGCAAAATAAAACTACATTTTCATGCTAACGTTTTCACCGCGATAGTGGCTCTTCAGGCATTTATTAAACAATAATTCAATTAACAATAGTCTATGACATCACAATGTCATAGTTACATTATTATACAGGCAAGGGTAGTAATTTCTTAGCCTACAGACTACAAATATTTAATCCCACCACGTTCTTTATTTTATTTAATTTAATTATTCTCTTATTTAGAATCAAGTTTTGGGTGGTACTTCTCAATAAAATAGCTTTCTTTTGCCTCCAAGAGGTCGTTGTTTTTGCTATTAAGTCTATATAAAGGAAAAACACTAAATTTGCCCCCACCACATACTTCAAGATGCTCACTGAGCGGGATCATCCTGTATTTTGGTTGAAGTATGTGCTGTCGATGGAGGTTCATTCTCAACCTAAGCATCCTTTGGGTCTTTCCTATATACCTTCCCTTGCATCCCGGACACGCTATAAGGTAAATTACATAGTTCGATTGGCAATTCATTGCCTGTTTGATATAAAATGTATTATCATCATTCATTTTTATGGATGATCCCTCAATGATAATGTCACAGGTTTTACACTTTGAATTACCACATTTCGAAACTACTGGAATTGAAGCGACTGAATCATATTTAGAAGATGTTATAATCCTAGCTAGATTGGAAGGTTGCTTTAGACTGTTGATTATATTTGTTTTTCTCAATATTTTATCCATCGTCTGGCTATTTTTAAGGATATGGATGTAATTTTCAATGATAGACTTCCCATTTTCCTGGGACGGATCGAATGTAGTAACTAAAGCAACGTTCCTTTTATCAGAGTCTACAGGAACTTTAGGTTGTCTTAAAATGCTTTGGTCCAGACTCAATGCTCTTTGGTTAGCATCGTCTATTAATTTACCTGGAAAGTTTTGTTTTAATAAGAAACCTTTTAGTTCATGTAGTCTCTGAACTCTGACATCTTGATTGGACACAATTGTACAAATTTGTCTAGCTAAGTTATATGGGATGTTTCGTTTCGTATGAGGTGGGTGACAAGAATTAAATTTAGATATTGATGTGTATCGGGTTTTTTGTACTACAGATCAGTTTCAATAGAGCCGTTTGCGTGTAGCTTAACTGTGACATCCAGAAAATTTAATGTGGATTGACTCTGCTCAATTGTAAACTGAATACTGTCATCTAAACTATTTAACATTTTATGAAGCTCTGAGATGATTTCTTGAGATACTCTGAGTATCACAGAACAATCATATAAGAACCGTTTGCATGAAGTCTTAATTAAATCACCAAATTCATTGCCAAACGTT